GTGAGTCAAATTTTCATTGTTCTTCCTACTTGTCATACAATTTTCTTAAAAATTAGCTTGTACTAAATATTCTTTTGCTCCTATAGAAAATACAAAGCATACATTCACATAGGTTTACTCACACTTAATCAAAGCTGAATGGCTCCTTTGTCTGTATCAAAGTTTAATTTCCTCTTCTTTAGAAGGGATTTTTCTATATCTTGCAAAACTCCAGACAACCACTTGATAGCATAGAAGGGATATAGAAAGCTCCAACTCTTTGTTGCCATATATTGATCATCTGGATTTTTGCAGCCCAGATAGGGTAGCCATAGTGTATTATGAAACCGATGCTTTCATGCATTTCTGATTTAGCATTTAGGTTTCAGGGTTATAAATGATGAGTCAGTGGTCCACTGAGAGTCAGATGATTAATGAAAAGACTACAACATTTAATCTACACATTTGCTGGTGTGAAAATATTCAGGTGTTATGTGAAATCCTGATATGAAAATAGAAATTTGAAAAGAGTGAAGTGTGAATCAAGGTGGTGGTGTTGACAACAAAAACTCTAAAGGGACAAAGTATATAAAAGGGTAGGAAAGATGATGTCATTGAATTAAGCATCCTTGAAGAAATAAGGACGATTGCTTCTTTCAAATGCTCTTTCCACATATTCTCTGAATATATTCTTTTTTTTTTTTTAGTTTTGGTACCTGTGTAAGATCTTAATGACTAGCCAACTTATGAGGTAGTCATTCATATGTTTCAGTGAATGTTTAAAAGCGTTTTCCATATACACAGCTGTGTACAAGAACTCTAGACTGTAAGGATTTTTGATTGTAGAAATATAGGCTAAACTAAATATTTAATTCATATAGATGTACATTGTTCAGGACCCCCTCCTGATTGTAAATTGGTGGAGATAATACTTACATTCGTCATATTTTCTTCATCCCCAAATGGTGTCCAATCTGTTCATGCATAACTTTTCACACTAAAAAAGCTGACTTCTAGGTTTGAATACGGACAATATTATATACTACCATATTGCTCAAGCTATTTTAGATAGCATTTGTTACAATATAGTAGTATCTATTACATACTTTAATTAAAAATCTGGTAACTTACTTTAAGCCAAAGGGCATGAGAGAAAGCAACTTTCTATTTCGGTGGTTTATAAGTACAATAACAAATAATTATTATATTTTAACTTGCCAATATGATGAAGGACACATTTCTTACACTAAATGTTTGATTTGAGTTTTGTGTCATGGGGAGCGGCTAAAAGAATAATCATACAACACCAGAAAGCGTAATCTACATCTGATTTGCAGCAAGGGATTGTTGGTATCATAAGCATCTGTTACAAGCCATGGTAATGTTTTGGCCTTCTGGAAGGCCATTAAGACCTGACATTTTCCCTGGGTGTAAGGGCTGGGATGTTAAGGGAGCCTGATATATGTGTGTCTGTTTTGTAAATTTGTTATGTGCTGCCTCAGTTGTTTTTTTTAAAATTTGGATTATTTTAACTTTGTTTAGTTATGGAGTTCTTTTTACTTTTTTGTTTTTTGGTAAATTGGTTGTGAGATGGCTAGAGTTATGAATTAAGATGGGTGGCCATGTAAAATCTCTAAATAAATAAATAAATACAATACTACCATATGGGTCATGATGCCATCATGCAAGTGACATGATTGTTATTTGTGTCAGTTGTGCTATGCTGTGAGACACAAGTACATAAGTCATATCATATCTGTTAGTTTAGCAATAGGACAGGAAGGCCTGGCGCAATATGGTTCATGGGGTCACGAAGAGTCGGACACGACTTAACGACTAAACAACAAACAACAAGTTTAGCAATACTGTTTCTTTAAGAGAATTAATGTTTGATTTAAACTTGGTTCTTTTTTTCTTTTTAGTTGCAGAAATCAAAGCAAACTCCTTTATATCTAAAATACAAATCTTACTGAATCATGAACTAAAGTTCTGCTGCTTTGGTCTCATAAATGCAAGAAACACCACCCCTTTGCCTTGTCATGTCTGTCAATCTCTATTCCTTCACTTTTTTTTTTCATTTGATGACTGCATTTTCATTTTGCCTTCTTTAAAATAAAATACTAGGATTTTTGGTGTCTTTTAGTTCCAGTGCTCCTCACCAGGAGCTCACTGACACCAGATGGTTGACAGAAAGTGACAGCACTTGGTGTAAAACTAACACCAAATGTGTTCTTCCTCCAGCCATCAGAGTCTGTGAGAAGAGAAGGAGAGCTGATAAAAGTCAATCTGTTTGTAAATAGTATCCAAATAATATTGGGAAGCCTGACTTACATGGATTTCCTTTCTGTTCTTACTTTGGATCCTTTCATTTACTGAACTTATTTCTTCTTGCTCAAACATTGATATGAACGTGTATCGTGATGTATTTTACTGAAATCATTTTGTTCAACAACATAGTACTCTTAGTCTTTTATTTCTTTTTGCATTTAGCTGGACATTGGTTGGCCTAGTGCAGTAATTGGCAAACTTTTCCAGCCCTGGCACCATTACATGACCTTGAGGGGCAAGATACTGTGCAAATCCGATTTGAGAAATAAGGATAGAACCAGCCTGGAGGCAAAACAATTTTCTTTAATAGGGATTATTATTACAAAAAATATAAGAAAAATATAAGAATGCTTTCTTTGCCACAGAGAGAGTTTATTTTCCTTATTTCTAGAAATTCTTACATTTGTTTCTCTAATTTCTATTTTTCTCTATCTCTATCTTATCTTATTCTATCTAATTTACAATGTTCTTTCTATATATTCAATATACATTCTTTTTACCCCATCTTATACTTTGCTTTAACTTAGTCTTTGCTTTAACCTTTTCCCTCTCCTGGTCTTTAGGCTAATGCTGGCCCTTCCCCAACCCACCTTGCCCCACCGCTTGTCCCACCATCACTTCTTCTGCTTTCCTCTTCTCCATCACTGCCATTATACTTCCTCTTCAGCCAATTCTCCAAAATTGGTGAAGATGGAACCTTTAAAAAGGAATAGGGAGAGAGGAGAACATTGACAGGGAATTATTCCCACTTATTTTGTGCAATATAATCACTGTGACAGATTTTTAAAAATTGATGCGCCATCAAGTTGGTGTCAATTTTTAGTGATCTCATAGATGAATTTTCTTCATGATGATTTCTTCATGATCAATTTTCTAACATGATCTTTCAGGTCTTTCAACAGTATATTCATTGCCACTGTAACTGAGTCCATCAACCTTGCTGCTAGTCATTTTCCACTTTTCATTCCTTCTGCCTTTCTCAGCATTAAAAACTAATCCAGAGAGCAAGGTCTTTGCATAATGTGTCCAAAGTAGGATAATTTGAGCTTGATCATTTGTGTCCCAAGTTAGAACTGTGGATTGATTTGTTCAGTGATCCATTTATTTTGTTTTTTGGCTGTCCAACATCAACTTTCAAAAGCATCAATACTTTTCTATCTGGCTTCTTCAAAGTCCAACCTTTGCTTCCATAGAGTGTCACAGGGATTAGTGTAGGCATAGATTTAGGTTTTTAAAAAAATATTAGTTTACTTAGTGATGGGGATACAAATTTAAATCTACCATGGGTAAACGAAACCTTGAGTATTTGGGGAAAGAAGATATTTATAGAGGTGGTAAAGTTTTATCAAGCAGCCTACTTAAATTATTGACTTAGTGATAAACTTAAGGAAAAAAACAAATGGGTGCCTTAACTCTTTAAAATGTTGGCAACTAAGGGAAAAGAGGGCTACAATCTCTGGGGAATAAATGGAGCTGTAGCTCAAGGGCAGCTGTGGAAGGACCCAGATTCACCTGTGCATCTTCAGAGAGGAATAGGAAAAAAGTCCCTGAAAATCAAGAGAGAAGTACCATGTCTAATTCCATTGGTTGTCTGGATTTTTGCAGCCCAGGTATATAGTCCTAAACAGATAAGTTAATGCCGTACAGTTAACAGCTTGAATGAGTTTAACAGCTTTGTTACTGGGGTGACAGGATGCCGAAGAAACCAAGATGGCATTATTTAGGAAGGTAAACATTCAAAATGTACATCACATTTAGCAATGAAGGAGTGTGGATCTGATGGTCTTTTTGTGGTGGGAATTGCTATATATTCTTTTTCATTCTGGAGTCCTGTTTTCTTCTAAAATTTGATTTCAGATTTGCAGTAAAATCTTCCCAAATGTTTTATTGTTGTGAATGATATTTATTTCTTGCTTTTGATTATTCATTGAATACTTAGTCTTCTGTTTTAAATATAAAAGGACTTTGTTGTGGGAAGATGTCAGCTTTTCTAGGCTGTCTGTGAAAGTGGACTTCACTAACTATTCCAAATTTTATATACTCATCTTGAGACTCACCTCACGCATAGTTAATATGAGTACTTGTCTTTTTAGGCCCCCTTCCAGATGGATGTGGATATTCATCTGCTTTCAGTAGAGAGACTGTAGCTCAGCAGTTAAATTGGTGTGTGGAGAGAGTGATTGTAGTCCCTATTTTCAGAGGTGGGAAAGTGTGCAATTTGAGTCCCTGTGAGGATTATCACAGACTGTTTCTTTACTACAATCCAATCACGCTGCATTGCAACATTTCTTTATTTCAGAATAATTCAATATATAATAATGTCCTTTTTCTTTCAAGATTTCTGACATCTTACAAGGCCTTTTTCACCAGAGGTATATCTGGCATGTAGCTAAACCAAGCAAGTAGCTAAGTCATCTTGTTAAACCCTTGAAATAACTGCCTCTGCATGGTGAAAAATGCAGGCTTTTGTTGATTAAAATTCCTGCAGTTTTTTCACTGTATTCATACTTAAAACTACCTGGAGGCATAGAACATAGTTCATAATGTCTTGCTCTGTCTCTCTTTTTCTTATTTGATAGGTCAAGTACAAGCGAGACTTTGAAGAAAGTAAAGGAAGAGGTTTCAGCATTGTAACTGACACACCAGAATTGCAAAGACTGAAAAGGACTCAGGAGCAAATCAGTAATGTATGTGACAGTGATAGCACATCGGAAAAAAATGTTACAGAAGTGACAGTGAGTTGGGTGATTGTTTCCAAAAATGAGTCTGTATGGCTGCAGAAATTGGATTATGTGATGCTTTGGGTGCTTGTGCTCCAAATTTTGTTTCACTTAGTAGCACATTGGTAGTGTGTGTTTCCCCTCTCCAAGCAAATTAAAGGTGAAATTACCAATCAAATTTATTTTTAAAAAATGCAAATTAGTATATTTATGGTAAGCTTCAGTGCAATGCACTCAAAATATTTTTCTGTTATGAATTAGATAGGCTAAACATTTCAGAAATAGTTTCCAAATAACTTTAGCTCGCAGAATTACTTTATTCAACAGGAAACACTGGCTTGGATGGAAAGGATTGTGACTGGGGGACAAAAGTTCTAAGAATTTGGTTGAGGAAGTAACAGAAGACTTCTTACCATGGAATACCACAGTGTGTTGGAATTGTATCACAATATGAAAATTGTTGCATAAGGAAAATGCTGTATGTCTTAAAGAAGTTGTGCAACAGAACAATGGCTTTGGATCTGAGGATACTGCTCCCATGCGGTGGTCTTTTGTTATAAGTTGGAGAAAACCTCACAGTGAGTGGGAATGCTTTTTGATAGCAATCTGAGCTCTAATCCATTGTAAACAGTCTTTTTTGAAAGAAAATCAGTACAAGATATGATCTGCAAAATAATAAAGATATAAAACATACACAGATGAAAATCCTTTGAAGGGTTGTAGAGATTTTAGCTGGAAATATGAAAAGTAGTATATTCAAATAGATGCTAGCTTCATATTCTCTCTGTTGGGACTTCTTAAATTAGAACAACTTTTGACTAACTGAAGAAGGAAGACATTTTGAATTACTTATTTAAGGATGTGGTTGCAGAAGGTAAGTGGGTGCTGAAAGCTGCTGCTGGATTATGAGGAACTGTTGGGATCCATAAAGTTTTCAGAGTGATTTGGGAGGATATAAAAAGGGTATAGGAGGAACATTGATAGCCATTAGTAATACTAAGGAGTAGGAAAGACAAGAAAGGAGTGTATTATACAAATACAGACTGTGATATAGGACCCAGAGCAGTTGTGTGATTATCCCAACCGTTACTCAGATGTGGAATGGGTTTCTTCCTTCTCCCTCCCCTCTCTTTTCTGAGGTAATAGAGATAAGTTTTCAAAATAGTTTGGGAGGATATTAAAAAGATATGTGAGGAAGAGTGATACTATTAGCAACATTTAAACCTACACTGTTGGATTTTAGAACAACTTCACTTTCAACAGAATTCTTTGGCTGGTGCAGTGTACAAAGATTTACAGATACCAGTATTAACAAAGATTAATAATTGGAGAATGTTAAATCTGCACTAAAGTCTTTTGCTATTAAAAAAAATACTGAGGAAATTTGAAAAGAAGCTACAGAATAATATATTAGGATGGAGTTTGTCATATTCATATGACATAATAACATATTTGATATTCAGGTTTTGCTGATCGTGTGAATATCTGATCACCTGAATATCAAATATGTAATTTTATAACTAAGTAAGCAGTGGCTTTGGAATTCAGTAGGAACAGGGACATTTGAAGAAGAAATTCCTAGCAGCAGGATCAAAGATTTGATAGCGTTCTGTTGTCATGGTAGTAAAAAACTCAATGTCTTGTATGGATTGCTCTAAGAGTATTAAATAAATTAACTGCTTTTCCTAATGACCAGTTTTGGACATTTTAGTTCACCTTCCATGGTTGAATGAACATTTTAAATTGGCTGTGCATTTTCCAATTTGTGTAGTGTAGTTTGAAATGCTCATAAATTATTGTATTTTCAATATTTCAGGTCAAAATATTATTTTTTTTTTTTTGTCTGGAGAGTCTGCTTTGGAAGCTTTGGCTTCCAAGGAGCCTTCCTATGGTGTTAATTCAAGAGTATAGACAAACTGCACTTGTGTTGTTTATGATCAGAAACATTATGTTTTCCTTGTTACTTATAATTTTTAGTATGCTGGATATTTTCACAGTAAAAATAATTCACTGTTTAGCTTTTTTTATGTTTCAGAAGGCTATAATAGGCACCAAAAGTGGAAAATAGGTATGAGAAAAATGAATATAATTATATTTTAAAATACAGTATGAAGTCAAATCCTGTGAAATAATTAATTTGTGACCCCAGTAAGAGGTTTTAAATTATATTTAAAAAAGCATGTGATTCGTAGGGCTAATGCAACATAGCCATGGTATATTTTATTTTAAATGTTAGACGCATATAAGTGTTTTCATGACTGTTTCATAATTCTGTTGATTTGGTACCATGTAGTGCTATTAGTCAAGAATCACTAGAGAAGACAGTGGTTTGCTTACGTTTTCTGATTGGATGAAGTAGCTGAACTAAATGGAATATATTGTCGTTCTGCACTTATTAAGGTAAGTGAGTTTTCTCCTTGTCAACCATAAAGGTTTTAGTATTAAAAGACATCATTCAGGAACTTAACATACCTACTTTATTTTATGAATATTTTCAAGCCTTGTTGTTGAATAATTTCTTAGAATTAATGCTCAATAGTATGGGTCTTAGTGGGTATTTTTTCTGGTCATTAACTATAGCCAGTTAATGTATTAATGCTGTTCATTGCAGAAAAGTATATGTTCAAGGCTTTACACTGACATAGGTTTATGATGAAAGGCATACTTATAAGGAGATATATTGCTTTAAAAATAAATAAGTTTGATAAATGATAAATTACAGTAGTGAGATAGCCACATTTATCTGTAGTAACAAAAATAACACATATTGATGTAAAGCTGAACCATGATTAATGTTATATGAAAGAAATCAACCTCATTCTGGACATGTGGACTGCACCCAACTCCTTGCTTCTGCCATGTAGCTAAGAAAAATTTGGAAATGTTTGATTTCATTTTTAGTTTACTACAATTTATTACTTGGTGCTAACTGAGAATCAGTTTAGCTTAAAACAAGCCAATTACATAATCCATCATTTCATGTTGGCTTACTTTAAAGTAATGATAGTTATCAGTTTATGAAGAATAATAATCTGTAGTTAAGTGTTTCTAAATTCTTTGTCCACATGGCTGGTAGCAGAGTTGATGGGGAAGGAGACTCCAACCATACAGTAGTTTTATTGCGACTAAGTCAGCAAACACTAACATTTTCACTATCTATTATATTCCCTTTCTTTGAGTCCAAAGACCATTGCAACTAGGTCTTAAGTGTGTGGTTTTTCAAACCGGGTTTGGTGGAATCCTAGGATTTTGTGAGGACTTGAATGGGTTCTGTGGGACTTAGTTCCTTGTGGGAAGTTTTTTTCCCCCTCAGCCTCTTGCTGAGAGGTCCCCACTTTCCTTAATTCTTTTTGAATATTTTTTTTTCCTTAGAAGAATTTTAAAAGTATTTAAAAAACTCTCTGCATGGGGCTAAGGAAAAAAAACCCTTTCAACATATTCAGCTCTCCATTTCTGTCATGATGCTGCTTTTCAGAGCATCCATAGGAATTTTTCTAGGATACATCAAAAGTGGTTGGGCTTGTCAGCTGACATTCAGAAGTTCTGCCCCTCTTGATCAGGGATTCCAGAATATTGCTTTTAACAAAGAGCCTGAAAAAGTTTGAAACCCCCTGCTCTAGTAGATAATGGCTAGACGGGTTGATAAAGGGAGATACGGTCTCTCAGACAGTTACTCCACAAGCCATTTGAGGGCTTTAAGTAATAATACAAGAATAAATTGTGCCTGGTAAGCAAGTGGTAACTGGTGCAGATCTTCCTCTATTTATTCCTCCTTATTTCTCTTTCTCCCAAATCTTAAAGAACTAATTATCGAAATTGATTGTAAAAATAAAATGTAATTTGTAGAGAAATAACATGGACAATTTTCATAGCTCCTCTGTATACTTACTAATATAACAAAATGTATGGTGTATTGATGAACATGCACTGTGTATTGTGCTGATTTAATTCCAGATCCCAAATGTAAAGGAGTGCTAAAATGAGGGTTTGGCAATTTGTGGTACTTGTGGACTTAGCCAAACAAATGTGTTTTGTTATAGATAAAGAGCTTGCACAGAGAATTGGCAAGTGAATATGTTAAAATAGAGGCCTATACAGTAGTTACCCTTGTAGACTACATTATTTAAGAGAGTAATTCTATGTTTCATTACAGGGAGTAACCTAAATGAATTCAGTGGATTTTAATTCTGGGTAAACACCTATATACTTGTATTCTAAAGGTATTTCTTACATTTGGATTTCTTAAATTTTTAAATAATAAGACTGTGCACCGCTATGGATTTGATTTAGGAAAGGTACATCAGAACAGGTGGAAGCTCAAGTGCAACTTACTAAAGGAGCAGATTGCATGGTTGCAGAAGAACACAATGTATATGAAATTCCTTTCCTATTAAATTGAGTCAGTGAAATCTTTTACTTGTATTCTTGTATAGGCAGACATGCTTCTTAGTTTTTCTTTAATATTGGAGTTTGAAGTAAACATATATAACTTTGTTATTTATTTGTTTATTTATTTTTAATATATTTATATGATTGCCCATCTCAAATATATGACTCTGGGCAGCTAAGGATATTAAAAATGATAAAAACATATATAAAAAAACATAAAACACACAGCAGCTGGATAAATTATAAAAAAACAATCAGCATTCAACATAACCAGGAAACGGGCTTCGTCATGCACTCAGGGCCCCAGGCTCAAGGACAGAGCCAAATGTGTTAGGTGATAAATCAAGTCCCTAGTCTTGAAACATCCTTATGGTGAAACCTGTGGCCTTGGATTAGGTAATGAAGGAAAATGAGAATTTAAAATCTTACGTAGTCATGTTAATTATTCTGTTAATCTCTGTGCAATAATTCAGGAATAATTCAGAAAAGGTGCTTTGTAGCATACGTGGAAGCAAACATAGCACCTGTCTGCAACTCTTTAAAGCAGCTGCATCTTTCTTCAAAATTGCATGGCTGCAGGCATGCACTACACTTCTGCCCTCTGTATGCTCCAAAACCCTGAATATTCTCCTAACTTTATTAAATAAAATGTTGTGCCTAAAATTTGTTTCATATTAGGACTGAAAGATTTAATACTGGGATGTGTATAAAATGGAAAATATATTATTTTGAACCTGGAACAAAACATAGCTTTCTGAAAGTTCTGCTGAGTGATTTTAGTTTTTCTTCCCTCCTTCCCTTCTGCTGCCCCCAGTGTATCACCTGTATCCCTATTCTTCACTGCAATGGGCTCAGTGCTAAGAAACAGGTTTCTAGTGCAACATATCCAACCGGCCCCAAATCCCCCAATTTTCCTACTGCTTTCCTTCCCCTTCCTCCCTCCCTCCGCTGCTTTCCCATAATTGTTGCCAATAGTGTTGGCTGTTTCCAGCTCCTCCCTCCCAATAAATTATGCCAGATCAACCACATTTTAGTCTACCTGGAACAAAACTGCTGTGTTTCGTTCTGTATATGGATCGAAAGATCTGCGACACATGTTTTGGTATGGGCCAGCCCCGGAATGTTTTTTACATTCCTCATTCAGTATATTTAATTGGCAAATTAACGAAGTCTGATCTCTTTCTTTCCCTCCCTCTAAAAAAGATTAGCTAAAAGATTATTACTAGAAAGATATAAGTGATAGATCTGCCCATTTTTTAAACATATTTGTCTGTATGAATGTTTCCAGCTATTTTATTATTTATAATTTTTGCAGTATTCTATTTGGCTAGCAGTGCCAGTCAGTTAACACTCATTCAGGTCTTTGAAAGTACTTTGATGTAAAGCAAAGGAGGCTGCTTGAACATGAATAGGGTATGAAGTAAATATGGATTGCATTCTCTGCCAGTTGTCAAGGTTGCCATAGTGAAGAAAGAGTATTACTGTGTATTACTTGTTTAAAATTGTTGGGCTCATTGCGCTAACAGAATTGTTGTTCAAAACTTTAAAATAAAAAAGAAGAGAGGTGAAGTTTGTAGAATATTTCTCTCCTTAAGAACCCTTCATCTGTAGACAGGATTGCCCGCCAACCTACTTGTTAATTATCACTGTACCCCTTTCTTCCTCTCCAAGGTCAGAAAAGTTTATATTTGAGGAATATAATGGATCAAGGGGAGATGAGGATAGAGAAGGTAAAATGGTTTTTCATCAGCTGCTGACTAGCTACCTTTGCCTTGACCTTGGATTTATTTATTGCATTTTTATGATTCATCATCTGCCTGGTGACTAGAAAAGCATATCTGTTCTGTTAAAACATTGAAATAGAGATGAATAATATCTGATAACTTGCCATTCTACTTCAAACAGAATTTGACTATGCCTGTTTTTGTTTGTTCATTTATTTATTAACCCAGTGCTAGTCTTGATTCCTGACACATTTTTGAAGAAGGACTGAATTCTTTTATCATCATGACAGCAGTGAGATTTAAGGCTGATGCAAGATGTAATATAATACAGTGCAATGTATATTAATCAACAAGAGAAAAGTGAGTTTCCTTAAAGGAGAGCTGAGCCTACTATAAATCTATTACAACAAAATAACTTAAAATGGAGAGATTCTGTTTTCTTGTGAAGAAATTGTATTTTCTGCAGTGTTGATATTCAAATATTAGTTTTAGTGATAAGTTGAATGGGGCATATCTGTACTAACAACTAAGATGCAATCAGTCTTCTCTTACCCTGAGAGATTTTCATCTGTAAGACAGAACCATCGCAAGGCCTGTTTCGTCTCTAGGTTAGGCACTTCCAGCCATAATAGCTTTTGTGTATTTTGTGCACTCAGCCATATTCCTATTGAAGCTTAAGATGAAGTGAAATCAAGAATGATGATGAGTTTCTTTTGAAAAAAAAATCTCACTTCCTCCCTCTCTAGGTCCTCTTGGTTTTCATTCCATAGTGTAGCAAGTTAATGTTTGACTTACAGTGGAATTCAGTTCTATTTGTTGAGGCCCTGTCCCCCATTTTTTAGAGAACTCTATTTTTCTGCTAACTGGCTTTCTTGAAAAATTGAGCCAGGTGTGTCAACAATTCTGTATTCTTAGTTAAGATTAGGGGTTAGCTACAAGTCTTATTTTTAAATAAAAACTGATTAAAGTAGAAAGAGTTGCCTTAAATTGTGCTGTACTCCTAATATAGCCCAGCTTCCTTCATCTGCTACCTTCTACATATGTTGACTATACCTCCAATCATCCCCAGCCAGCATGGAATTCACCTTTGGGGAAAACTGGGCTTGGGGAGAGCTGATATAGACTACTCAGATAAGTGTTCTCCAGGATTCCTGGCACAGATCTGGTCTCAGTCTTGTTAATATCATTTAAGCTTGAGATCTAGAACGTGAATTTTGGAATGCATGCAAATAAAATATGTATTCTGTCATGAAATCAAAAGTTACTTTTTAAAAAATTTAGAACAAT